ACCCCCCCCCCCCCCCCCCCCCCCCCCCCAACTAACCCTTAGTTTAATAAAGCACCTTCACTTTAATGATTCGATTGTAGCTAGGACTACACGACGACAGTTGGGAACAACCTAAGACAACAGCCCTACGTCAGTCATTTAACAGACCAGGTCATTGGGGCTACTAGAACAACTGTGCGGAATTGGATGTCTTAATGGAAGAACACTCCCCCCCCTTCCCACCCCACCCCGGTCTGATAGTAGACGACCTTTGTGATCACTATACAAAGGAGGATATCAAGACTACTAGTTTTTTTTCAAAATATGAACAGCTTGGAGCGAGGCAGAGTAAAAAAGGCGTTAATAGAAACACAACCAGAAACAAATGTCTGCACTTCGTAAGCCTCTGATCCAGCTCAAAATGTCATCAACAAGAGTTAGTCATCTGTTACGGTCTTATCGTAACATACCCCCTAAGGTCTAAGAATGAGTGAATGTCGACATTAGAGTTACTCCTTTATAGAGACATGAAATATATTGAGCTAAGGAGGTGGTTTGCTCAGTGGAGAAACCCGGTGGACAAGATTCTGCGAAGTTGATTGCTTTAGAACTACTATCAAAAATGTCTATCACCTATGTTATCCCCAATGCCCTTTTGAGCTAGCAACTACAAAGAACTACAAAAAGGCTTGCAGAAAGTCCTTGCATTGACCGGACTAACGTGGTTTAAGGTTCACCAGTGTCTAGCCCAATTTCAGCATATACTTCCCGATTGGAAGAGAATTCTAAGGGTCAAATCTGCCCGTCTTTTCTAAAAGGACCCCATCTCAGATACGATTACGTATCCGATTGTCCAAAGAGCAATTTGAATAAACAATAGAAACAGAGAGTGACGCACCTGTTTCGCTGTATAAGCATTGGTGTTTGCATTAATGGCCCGGGTGAGGCCAAAATCGGCAATTTTTACAATGTCATCATCCCCAACTAACACGTTTCTTGCAGCGAGATCTCGATGTACCAAGCCCATACCTTCCAGGTAAGCCATTCCACTGGCAATCTGTAGAATAAAAGAGGAATTACTCAAGAGTCCAGTTGTCTTTGGATTAAGAGAAAGCAACCAACCTGTCCCATAAAATCGACCTGTTCTTTAAGTCCAATCGTCTTTTCAGTATCAGAACGGAGGTACTTTAGAAGACTTCCCTTGGACATCAATTCAGTGACAATATAAATAGGTTCACTAGTGACAACCGCAAATAACTGGACAAGATGTTTGTGTCGCAGCGCTTTCATAATTCTCGCCTCCTTTAAGAACTCTTCCTTACTCATAGTACCCTCTTTAAGAGTCTTGATAGCAACTGGACGCCAGCCTTCATACTCCCCCCTCCAAACTTCACCAAATTGACCCTCACCAAGACGTTCTAGTAGAACCAAGGAGGATCGTTCAATTTCCCAGTGATCCTTTGTGCGTCGGGAGAGGTCAGATAGGAAGGGTGGTGGCCGAGGGTAGGGTTGGCTCAAACGACAGCATAGACCGTCGGCGTGGGAAGTGTAGTGATTGATGAGACTTATGAGATCCGGAAAGACCAGACTACTGGTGATACAGATACCTCCACTAGGCGGATCGTGTTTGATCTTGAAGTGACACACCTTTCCTTCAGCATATCGAATTGAGAGGGACAAGCCACCTGACAAGAGAAGTAAAAGGAAACCAGATTTGTTAATCGTCGTCAAAGCCTAACTATGAAATGCGCTCTCGAAAACCTGAGAAGTCTAAAGAACAAACAGTAAATTCTGCTGTCAAGACGGTAAGAAAATAACGCATTCAAGTGGCTATTTTAGAATTTTAGAAAATTGGGGTGGAACAGAGGATCGTAGCTGAAAAAAATGGACCAAATCCACATTCCATCTTCAGTAAATACTAGACAACATCACGGAGAATTTACACGAGAGCGGTCAATTGCAAAGGAATTTTCGTCGAATAGATAAAAAACGTTCATATTTCTGTGAAATAGGAACATTTTCTCGAGTTAAAGTGTTATTAATCGTGAGAAAAGGAGAGTGATATTGAGTAACAATAATGTCTTGTCAGGGATCGTAAAAAAAGCTTAAAAATCCCTGCTTCATTTGGGTTTCAAGCTCAGTTTCTATAGGTAGATCAATATCTCTCGCGCTGGAATTCAAATGTCAAAATTCGGCCCTCGGATTATGGATCAATTACGTGTCCACATTGCCCAGGGTACATTAATCGATTGAAGTTACCACTTCATTTATTTGAAAAATAAGAAAGTTGGTTGATAGGTTTCCATTTTTAAATACTCAGTACCTTTCATCTTAGCGTCGATGACAACAGCCACTAGCTGCCATGAAAGAGAAGTAGCATACAGTTAATCCAGTAAAATTTAAACTACTGATTAATCTTACAAAATTTTTAAATGGCTAATCTTAATTGCTGGGAGAAAGAAAAACAAATGGAATTATCAAACGCTTAACCTAGCCAAATGGATGACATCCTAGAACCATCTATTGAGTGACGAGCATTCCTTAGCCTCTTTCATTGACCAGAATTTACCAGGGCGGTTGGACGCATATCACGGGTTGTGCACCAATAGGCACTGATTTCGCGACCTCTAATTTGGCAAGCCTGCATGTCAATCAATGTCAGTAAGGTTTCGAGACCGAGAGGGATATTAAACATACGTATCTTTAGTGTATCAATTTAGCAAAACAAGGTCTTAAATACAAGTACTACCCACCCCCCTCCCCTCAATGACCGGTTTCGGACTCATGTCCTCTCATTCTGCTCGGCAACACAATCAACCTAGATGCATTTCTCCTAGTATGTCCGCCCAAATCTCTCTAAGCCTGCCTACCTCAATAGATTGCCTGGAGTAAAGCATAAACAAACCCAAATAAGGCACTCAACAGAGGAGGGGGTGGGGGGTGGGGG